TTAGCTTTGAATCCCCATCAATACTTAAATATCTTCTTTTACGGGGAATATATTTATAGTTCGATTTATTGATCATTTTAATGAGTCAATTTTGACAACATTATGGGAAGAAAATAAACAATTGGAAAAAAATAAGTTAGAATGAATTATCATTATCTCATTTTGATCCACGTACCGAACAATGTGAACTAGAAGTTCAAAGGATATTTCATTTACAAAATTTAGAAAATCAATTATTAGATGCTTTTACTAATCTTAGAGGAATGACTAAATTACATATACAGTTGTGAATGCTCCAATTAAAATCGATGTCCTGAAGGGAGAAACTCTAGTTGTGAATGAGTTGTTGGCACACCTTAAACGTGATAGACCAGTAGGTTCTAAGAATATGAATACTAAAAAAAGAAAAAAGTTATATCTAATAATGGGATGATTGAAGAATCTGAAAAGTTTTTAGAAGATATTAAAGGACTCCATAAAAGAAAATTGAAATGAATAAGATACCCAATAATGAAGAGATCTCAATAAATTATTATATGTCTGATATTAAGTAGAATCGAAATCAAATCAACTTTGATGATATATTTGCATGCAATGTAGCACTAGAGCTTTTGAATGATAATGAGGAACATGAACTTGTATCAATTGAACAATGCAAACAAAGAAATAATTTACCAAAAAGGAAAAATGCAATTGAGCCTAAAATCTCTTACGAAGAGAGAAGTTTTCGAACATCTAATTCATACACCAAATGGTGTAAAACCCATGGAATATAAATGGGTTTTTGTGAGAAAGAGAAATGAAAAGAGAAAATTTGTGAGATATAAAATTCGTTTGGTTGCACAAATTTTTTTACAAATACCTGAAATCGATTATGAAGAAACATACTCTCTGGTTATGGATGCAACTACTTTTAGATTTTTTATTAGTCTGACAGTAAAAAAAAGGACTTACTTTCCGCCCAATGGATGTTGTTACAACCTATTTATATGGGCCTCTTGATAATAACATTTACATGACACTTATAAAAGGATTTAGTTTTCCAGAAACAACTAATTCTAGTTCTCGGGAACATTATTCAATCAAAATTAAATAATTTCTTTTATGGATTAAAACAATCTAGGCACATGTGGTATAATCACCTTAGTGAGTACATAATAGCGGAAGGTTATAAGAACGATCTAATTTCTTTTTGTATTTTTATTAAAAGATTCAACTTTAAATTTGTCATTATTGATGTGTACGTTGATGATTTAAATATCGTTGAGACTCCTAAAGAGATCTCTGTGGTAATGAAATACTTAAAAAAAATTAAAAGGAAAACCTTAGAAAGACAATATTTTTTCTTGGATTACACATTGAGCACCTAATGAATAAAATTCTTGTATATTAGTCAACTTACATAGAAAAAGTGCTAAAGAAATTCTACATGCATAACACACATCCGTTGAGAACCCCGATGGTTGTTAGGTCATTAGATGTAAATAAGGATAATTTTCGTCCTCCAAACAAAGATGAAAGCCTTCTAGGTCTGAAAGTATCATATTTAAGTGTTATTGTTGCATTGATGTATCTTTCTAACCAAACAGGACCTGATACATCATTTGTTGTTAATTTATTAGCAAGATTTAATTCATGTCCAACCCGAAGACATTAAAATGACGTGAAACATATATTTCGTTATCTTCAAGGTACGAAAGATATGTGATTATTTTTCTATTTTATCCAAAGCTGAATTGGTTAGTTTTGCAGATGTTGGGTGTTTATCTGATCCTCAAAATTCGCGATAACAAACTGATTATGTATTTACATATGGTGGTAATGTAATTTCTTGGCACTCTATGGAACAAACAAGTACTGCCACTTTATTTAATCCTGTTGAGATTTTGGCTATCCATGAAGCTAGTCGTGAATGTGTGTGGCTAAGTTATGTAATCAATCATATTCGAGAAGATTGTGGTTTATGCTTCGAAATAATAACAATGACGGTCATATATGAAGATAATACATCATGCATTACCCAACTCAAGGAATGAAACATAAAAGGTAATAGAACAAAACACATCTCACCAATTTTGTTTCACTCGTGATCTATAAAAAAATGGGAACATTAATGTCCAACATATTAGTTCAAGTGAAAATTTGACGAATCTATTTACCAAGGAGCTTCCTACTAGTACATTTGAAAAGTTAAATTTCAATATTGTATTACACTGTTTCAGAGATCTTTCATGATGCATTCGTAAGGGAAGCAAATACGCACTGTACTCTCTTTCCCTTATCCATGGTTTTGTCCCACTGGATTTTTCTAGAAAGATTTTTAATGAGGCAACATGTCATACGTATTAAAGGATAGTTTATTTATATTTTTCACTGAATTTATCCCTTATGATTTCCCTATTAAGGTTTTAACGAGACACATTTTTATTGATAAACATCAAAGGAGAATGTTATAAATGATATTTTTAAAGTGGATGTTTACGTTCATTTAATGTTTCTTAACTTACATCAGGGCCGATCTAATGAGTTTTAATGCCCTGGGCGAGATAATAGTTTTATGCCCCTATACTTGTACCGTATAATAGAGAAAACATAAATAATTTTTTAAAACAAAAATGTAATAGAAATTATAGTCAAACAATATCAATACTAATACAAACCAAAACCTAAAAGGCTACAAATATCACCTAAAACAATGTCTTCGCGCATTTTTTGAAGCAAAATCCTCTATTATTTTACGATAATCAAGACTTTGTAAAAAATGACTTTCGATGCTTAGAATTGCTAATCCGTTCAATCCGTTCAATCTATCTTGAGTCATCTTGAGTCACCCGATGATTGTTTTTGAGGTAACATATTTAAAAGTAATCAATAAAACAAATATAGTAGCAAGTAAACAATAAAACAGATTATTAGCAAGAAAAGATACAACCTGACCGGTGACCGAAGTTTATGTTGTTGACTTGTTCTTTCTCACAATCAACTGATTTGGAAAATTAATTATAAAATCAAAATAATCAGAAGGAATCACTCTAAAAAATGTCTTGAACAAAAATATTTAGCCACATTTATTTGACCATAAAAAAACATTGTCCTAGTGATGAAATAAAAGCTAAGACTATAAGATCAAACTTAAGCAAGACTTAGAACTCTGTAATCAAGCCAAACTGATACACATACAAATCGAAAACTTAGCAATGTATTTGCTTGCAAGATAAACTTGGTATTTCAAACTTTGCAAAGTTCTCCACAATCTTATTGTAGCAGTAACAAACATCAATGGTCAATGGTTGAACCATGGTCCTTATTAGTGGCAGCAAATGACAAGCATGTTGAGAAATGAATGTGAAACGATTGACCAATTTTCATTGGATCGGATAAAACCACTTCATATGTCATAAAAATATAAATGAAAACTCTCAAATGGTATACAAAAGAAAGTTGTATTCATATTCTCAAGACACCTGAAAATGCACCAATAATTCATTCTTTGGCTATTCCATCATACCAGAAACATGCTTTTATGTTAAACCCAATTCAGAAGGTTGGACCCCAAAGTAGAATTACCAACAAATAAAGTTGTTCCAAACTCAGAAACAAAGGCTGACATTGTCAATAATCCAACATAAAGAAGTGGGAGAACTTTGTTCTCCAACAAATGAATATTATAAGATTACAAACAGGGGAAAAGTGAAAGAGAGAATTTTGTTCTCTTAAGCCACCTCAATGCCAAAAGAAAAAAAAAAGAGCATTTTCCCTCCATTGTTCCTATACAATCCAATCACTATTTTGTGATCTGTGATCTATTCCAGTTCTAGTTCCAACTAAACTAGTAATGATCTGTTCCAGTTCCAACAAAACTAGTAATGATCTTTAAAAAGGTCAAACCGGAAAAAAAACATCTGAATAAAAACAAAGTAAAACGAGCAAAAGTGAATTAAAATCGCTTCATTCTTAGCTCTAATCATGTAATCATTCATCAATTTTCAGTATTTGTAAGCTTTTACAAAACCCTAGAAAGTTAATCCACGTCAAATTCCAACTTACACAAGCAAATCAACGAAAAAAAACATAACCCATGAAAACGCAGTAGAATATCAATCAAAAGAAACCGTTTCCATACTAATAAAAATTGAGGGGGGGAAATCAAATTTTCGTTACCTTGCCTCTTCCTATCCCGGTAGACAAACAATGACAAAAACAAAATACACTCTGTGATCGATTTGTTCAAAAAGCAAAAAAAAAAATATTAATAGCTTACAATTTAATCGATTTTAAGCCTTTTTTTTGCTATCAAACCAACTAAAAATCAACTGGTTTAGGCGAGTAAAATCGTGTAACATAGAAATTAAGCTCTAGAAAACTGCCCCCAACATGCTGCCCTGGGCCGTCGCCCATGTGGCACATGTATTGGGCCGGGCTTGACTTACATTATTAATGTATAATAACATTAACCTTTAATTAGGTTTTATAACATATACTTTTGAGTTTTTGATACCTATAAAAAGATTATACAAGCGTAGTATGAAACAAAAGATTATTATTCACTTTTACATTATATTTTATATTTGTGTATAATTTCGTAACAAATTTATCTTTTAGAAAATAATTACTCGTGTAAGAAAGAACGCGTTTTTACGAATGGCTGAGCTGTAAATTTTGACTTAATTCACTCCACTCGTCTCTTTTAGCAATCCAACGGCCACCTATCACAAAACTAGCTGACCCACGTATAACAGCAGAACAGTTTTTTTAGCATTTCTGAGCTGTAAAATTTATCCTTTTACGCATGCACATGCAATCCTTTCCCTCAATTTACTCGTCATCAGTTTGAGAATAAAGGGAACTCCCGAATCATTTCTGAAACAAACCATATAAAGAATTGATTTAGACAGTGAATAAGTTTGAACTTTTAAATAATACTATATATAAATTACATTCAAAAAAGAAGAGAAAAAATATCCAGCTCTATATAGAAATCTATAATCCCTACCTAAAACCTTTATCTTTCTTTTCTACAGGTTTTGTAGTTTGAAAAAACATGACTGACCTTAAGTATGCTTATCCCTACCCTGCTCAAGGTTCTCTCTCTCTCTCTCTCTCTCTCTCTCTCTTAACTAGCTTAAGTTCTTAGTTTTTGCATTACTGGCCAGAGTTCTTCAGAAGAACTTTCAGATTTTGAATATTTTAGTTGCAAATCTGTAATTTTTTTTGCATGTTCTGTTTGTTAATATTTTGAGCTTATTTTTTCATTTTCTTGGCTGATTTTACCTTGGATTGAAGGAAAATTATGGGGTAGAAATTGTTTTAAATATATGTGATAATATTTGTAAGTAGGTTATTATCAAGGGCCCCCAGTGATGGCGCCACCACCATATGCATATGCTACTCCACCACCTAGGAGAGAGCCTGGTTTCCTTGAGGGCTGGTATGTATATATATTCTTCTTCCCATGCTGCAATATTTCCATTAATTTAGAGATTTTTTATTTTTTGTGTTAATTTATTTTTACTTTTTACAGTCTTGCAGCTTTGTGTTGCTTCTTTCTCATTGATGAGTGTTGCTGTGATCCTTCCATCATCTTTATTAGCTGATAATACATCTCTGTAATTTCACTGCACGTGCAATATCACTTACTAGTTACTATTTGTATGTAGAGTTTAGGTTTGATTCTGGAGGAATCTTTTTAATACTCGTAAACGGTAATTTAGAACTAGTGATTGATTGTGTGGTTTGAAGAATCTTCGTCCTTGTAATTTAGTTCTCTTAAGCAAGGAAGATAATCATCATTTAAGATTAGCTCAGTCCTTCGGTTCTTGTTGGATCGTGTGGCTCGATGTTTAGGTATTTGTGCAAAAAATGAGGTAGAAATAGAATATTAAAATGATCAAAGATCAATGGCGTAAAACAACCCATATGAGGACATTCAAATAAGAACATAAAACCTAACACCATTTAATATTGTCATCAATCACATGGAACATTTTTCAAATGTATTGGAGTTGTCAATTAGAGTGCACTTTTCATTGTTGGAGAACATGTTTGAAGCCTTTAAAATCATGACAAGACGATAGATTCCATGGGAAACAGTATGGAATAACACACTTAAAGCTACCAAGTACTTTTAGATAGTTGAATTACAGAGTGTTGTAACTCATTTTCCAGATGAATTTTATTTTTGAAGGAAACTATATATACGCAAGTCAGAAGCCGAAGAAACAGAACCAAATACACAAACTCCATGTAATAGCTATAGTTATTCGCCAGGAGGGAATGAAAATAAGCAACAGTAAATACAATAATTTACTGGACCATCAAGCTTTTATGGTCTCCTCCATGTTTGTGGGATTTTCATGGGATGATGCAACGAAATAAATTATATATTTGATTAGTTATTGAGGTCTTCAAGTGTTCAAATATAATAATTCGAATTTAATTGCATTAAATAATAGAGTTGTGTTTTATGTTTGTCAGGCAATATCATTTATTAGTAGGGTAAACTATACTAGTAACCACCAGCTATAGCTCATTTTCCTTTTACCACCATTTTTTTAATTTTTTTCGATCAGATCACTCAACTATTTAAATGCATTTAATCAAGCCACTTGCAAATGTGATGATGTGGCAGTTAAAACAATTTGTCATATGATGACATATGTCAGGACACAATTGGAAGACTTTTTTATATTTAATTTAAAATATTTTTTCTCCAACCAGATGGTGAACGCATGGCACAATTGAAGACTTTTTTATATTTAATTTAAATATTTTTTCTCCAAGATGGTGTCACTATCTGAGGAAAGGAAATAAACAAGAAAGAAGTAAACGCTTCTACCACTGCGCCAGCTCCCACATTTGTTCATAAACATAAAACTTATGCTATTTATCTTATATTACAAGTAATGCCAGAAAAATGAAAATAAAAGTAACAATAAAAGGACTCAAGCCTAAATCTATTAGGAATATAAAAACATCTAAACCATTAAAAAATATAATTTTTAAATTATAATTGAATATATTTTATATATATTTAAAAAAATAATCAATATAATATTTAAAATAAAAATAAGTTTAATATTTTTAAACTAAAATTAGTATATTTTTGTCTCTACTCTCTCTACTTCATATACATGTACTTTCATGGCTTATTTATTGCTAAAACAATGAATACAAGGGGTGTCATCGCGATCGAGCTAAATCTTAGATAGAGGAAATGAATTTTTTTAAGAATTCCTCTGCAAAGTGAGCTTGGCTTTTGCTAAATGAAAACTCTGGAACTAGACTATATGAAACGGAGAAAGTGGAGACAAAAAATATATTAAATTTAATTTAAAAATATTAAATTTATTTTTAGTTTAAATCTTATATTAACTATATATAATTATACTTCAATAATTTTATTTTCTTTAATATTTTAGGTGATTTTATATTCCCTTATAATCTAGGTTTGAGTCTTTTAATTATTATTGTTATTTTTATTTTCCCTGTAATTACTTATAATATAAATTAAATAGCAACATGATATGGAAGCTGGCGCAGTGGTAAGCTGCACGAAGCCAAAGCTGTAAACCTGGGCTTGATTCTTACCATCAGGTTCCCTCTCTTCAATATATTTTCCTCTAATCATATGGTGCAACGTGTCACTATGTATTTAGATAGGAAAATATTTCAATTCAATATAAACTAAATTAGAAAATTCATCCAATCATGTCACAAAACATGTCGTCATATGATTGGAGGATTAATATATTGAATTAATTTAAAATTATGATCGAATTGATGGAATACATAAATAGTAAGGACTAAAAGTGTATTTAGACAAAAAAAATTTAATTGCCATCAGCATAGCCACAACCCACAAGAGACTTGATTGAATATATTTAAATAGTTAGGTGACCTAATTGACAAAAATTCAAAAATAGTGGTCAAAATTAAAAAGAGCTAAAGTTACGTGGTTACTTGTATAGTTTACCCTTAGATTATTTGATTTGATTATTTGTCCGTACTCAACCAAAAGATTTCAAGGATTTCAGTTGCATGTAGATGTAACTAGTAATGCGAAAATCTCGTTGACAAAGGATTTCAGTTCAAGTGTTTCGGGCTCTTCAGCTGCTATTGAAGCTGGCATTGAGATATGATTGTTCTGTGAAAGATTTATAGATCTGGGAATTGTACCTGATTTGAATATTAATGTTTGAAGTATTTTTTTCTAGTGTGTTTGTGTTCTGTGAGAGATTTATAGATATGGGGATTTTACCTGATGCCGGAGAAGTTGCAATGAACGTCCCAGCAACAACTTCGAACAAACGGACCTAGAGAATCTGAGAATGAGGCATACATCTTGGTCTATAAATTTCATCTTACAATTTCCCATCTATGGCTTCAATACATGTCAAATATACGCAAATTGTTATCTATTTACAATATATTTATTTCTAAACCTTTAAGCTATTCAGTTCTAATGAGCCATGCCAATTCCAAACCAGCAGTTTAAGTGCACAAAATATGGTCAATCTAAACATAAAACAAAATTGGTTTTTTCATTGCCAACTTACTCTTTAAAAACCTTACAAGATGCCTGAATCATGGTTTGTGTTGTTATTCAGGTCTTTACTCAATTCGACATCTATCTGCGAAAAAGTGATGCCTCTAAACATTCACAGGCCATGGAATGAGTTGAGTTTGGTGGGATGGGAATCTTCTGATTTTTTGTTCCTCAGTTCTAGATTGCTGAATTAACACAACTCAATTAGAATTTTAAACCCTAAGCATAAAATAGCTGACCCTAATGTTAAAAGGAAGGTACCACTGTACCAGGCGAGGCAAAGAGGAGAGTAGTAGAGGTGGCATTGGCATGTCTTGAGCCTTTTTCTTCTTATTGACCATGCATAGCTGACTATATGCTTTAGATTATACAGCCCAAGCATCAGAATGCATGAAGTCCATGGAAATCAGATATAGCTTAGGAGGGTCCAATCGACAATCGGCTCTCAACAGTTATGGGGAAAAAGAAAGAAAGAAAGTTCTAACACCTGCCCCAACTGCATCAGAACCTTAACTATTAACAAACACACATGCATTGATTCTCCTAGAGACAAGATTGTAGATGGGAGGATGAGAGTTTTATCAATTTTACAAATGATAATCACCTAATCGAAGAATTATCCCATGCTTTTTCAATGAAAGACTAAGCACCTAATTCTATTCTATTCCATTTATTTTGAAGTTCAAATATTTACCATTGCAGCATACCTAAATGTGGTGCTAAAACACAATCCATTCTTACTCCCGTCTCTTCCCTGCTTTCCCAGTTATGTTTCATCTATCAACCTCTCCCACTCCATTAGCTTAATCTAGACATCTTAGATGATTTAAGTCATAAATATATTCATCAATTTACTGTAAAATGTTTATAAACTTGCACCACCAACTGAGTTCTACTTCAGAACCTTTAAGAGCATGATGTCTCACTGCTCTTAAGAATATCTTACATTTTGAACCAGTCTGAAAACTCAACCACAGGGAAAGCACCACTTAGAATGTTTAAACTGTCATTATTAAACATACAAAAGACGACTTCAACATATAAAGGTTCATACAGGTTGGATAACCATTAAAAAGATGAGTGTGTTGATGTCAAGCCAAAAGCAGCTTAGTTAATTATTCGAGATCCTTGAGCAAGAGCAGACTAACTAATACAAGCATAAAAAGGCATAGAAGAAGTGAATAAGATCTTATTTATAGGACCAAGACTGTTTTAAAAGAACAAGGGAGCTATTTGATGTTTTCCTAGAGGTAGGGATATGGAACTTGGATTTCTGAAATAGCTTAAGCTATTTAGTAGTAGTAAATTTTAAATTCCTATAGATATTTATAATTTTGAGAATCATGTTCTTATACCTTTAAAACACATAATCATTTTGAATCTCAAGTATCAACTAATTTACATAATGTATGCATTTTCCGCAATTTATATAGGAAATGGAATTCAAACCCAAATCTTGAAATTCCTGTTCCAAAACATAGCATAAAAAGAAAAGTTATTCTCTTACCCTTGATAAGATTCAAATCTAGGTTCCACAATTTTTAGTTTTCTTCCAGTTAAGAAGACATTCATCACCATTAAAATTACTTTTCTATTGCCTTTGAGAAGATGGGAGTCAGAATTTTCAGCTTCCAAGCACTGCTTCAGTATCTTCCTCAAAGAACAAAATAATGATCTTTCTTTCCTAATTTATTTAGATTGTAAAAATTGGGGAATAAACAAATAAAAATTTGCCATCTTTAAAAGTAGCTAAAGTTTTTGAAACATAAATCGGCCCAAAGAAATCTATCAAAAGAAAATGCAATAACTTCTTATAATATACAACAAATTCAAAAGATACAAAAGCAAAATTCACTAATCAACAAGTTTACCACATAGGAAAATGAAAAGAAAACTATGTTTTTTACAAGGTAAAACGAAAGGGGAAAAAACTATAATAAGAACTGAATCACCACAAAGATATTAAAACAAGTACAATTCTAAAATGGAATCACGTACTGAAAAGAGAAGAGTTAGAAGTAGCAGTTCCAACTTGAACCTCAAGAAGCTCCAAACGACGTTCTAAAGTGTCGAGCTTCTCGTTCAATGATGCTAATTTGCTCTTCGTCGTAGCCTCTGAAAACCAAAGACAAATTAGAAATAATTTTGCTTTAAAAAGGGTAAAACCAGTAAATCAGACTTGAAAAAATAAAAGATTTTTAAAAAAAATAATATATACCGAATTGAAGGAGAAATTCGAAGAGGCGACGAATATTGAGGGAAATGTGAGAGATGAATTCGCGATTCTCCCAATCGGCCTGGACCGCAATCCCTACGTTTACAGCGTTCGTTATCCCTCCTGCTCTTGCCATTTTCCCCCAATATTTTTACCGATCTTTCAGATCTCGTGTATTACTGTTGTTTCTTCGATCTATAAAACGAAAATAAACTTTTTCGGGTACAATTTCGGTTTCGTGCCTCTACTATGATCAAATTTAGAATTTAGTCTTTAGTATGACATAATCTGGTCTTTTACAACCCATTATACTAACGAATTTTTTTGTACAGAATAGGTGATTTTAAAAAAAATTCAGGTCATCGTTTCAATTGGAACAACTAACATCTGTAAATACTTGAACTAACCAATAAAATTGTAAAATTAGTGATCAAATTATGTTCAATTAAAATAAATAGATTAAATTTCAATTTGAAAATAGTGAAGGGATCAAACCACAGTTTGACTTTTTGAAAACAATAATGTCGGTCCGAGTTTTGGTTGTTTGGTTGATTGGATTGGATTGGGTTAGGTTGGGTTTAGGCGGTGTTTTTTTGGGTAAAGTATACAAATAATCCTCTTATTATAGGGTGTTGTTTTGTTAAGTCCATTGATTATTAAAAGTTACAAAATTATCTATACATTATAGGACATTGATTTTTTAGTCTCTTTACTATTAAAAGTTACAAAATTATGACCAAAATATTCATATGTTCCAAACTCAATCTTTTTTATTTAAAAATTTGATAACAGTCTGACCGGGAAATTAACATGTTGTTTGAGGTAAGATAGTCGTTTAATATTTTACGATCATATTTTATCATATCACAGTTAGTAGGTTAACATATAACTCATAATGCCGTCAATTTTTAACAGAAAATGATAAATTTGGAAGATGTGAATAATCAGACGATTATTTTATAACTTTTACTAGTCAGAGACTCAACAAAGTAATGTTTTATAGTCAATGGATAATTTTATAATTTTTAATAGTCGAAAGGATTAATAAGAAAAATACCATATAATCGGAGATAATCTCTGTACTTTACCTGTTTTTTTCCCTTAATGTTGAGTTTCTTTGAAGGCAATCCCTCATCATTCTTAATGATTTCTTTATTTAAAATTTATTTTTGTCAATTTTCTTCTACTTTTTATTGTTTACTTTCTATATTATTATCGTGAGTTGCTTTTCATTTTCTATTCTTTATATAAGAATGGCAAATTACGATCTTTATTTCAATTAAATTACGGCATGAAATTTTTAGTCAAAATCTAACAGAAGTTTTTAGAACATTTTCTTTTTAAGTTTATATAAATGATAAAATTTAATTAATACTAATAAAAAGTATTGTTAAAATTTAGACTGTCAAATTTTAACATGACGGAATGTGTGATTTTTTTTATAGTAAGCAGCTAGTTTTTTTAAAAATAGAAAATGTTCAGAATTACAATAAAGATTTACAAGTATAACGTAAACGTAAATAAAATTATAATTTAGATATTTTTCTATAACCATTGACATAAAAACTAGCCACCTAGATCACACAAGGATAAAAAAAGAAAAGATTAAAAAATGTAACCAATGTTCAAACAAAATAAGGATGCAAACAAATCTGAATGCATCGGCAAACGAACCACAAAAGGAGTGAAACTATCGAAGGTCACAGAAAAATCACAAATCAGAGTCAAGCGACGTGAGAAAACAATCTACAAACACATAATGCGTATCCAAATCAATTTGAGAGTCTAAAGCAAGGAAGACCATTATGATAACAAATAAGCAACATTTTGATCAGTCATGGTAATGTCAAATCCAATCATGAGAAAAAAGATAAACGAAAACAACGGCAAAAAAACGTAAGCTACCAAAAGACAGAAAAAACGTGCCACAAATACAGAGATAAACATGTTATAAAAGCAGAGAAACATGTCATAGACACAATTATTCTTATTAAAAAAATTTAAAAAAAAACAAAGGAAAAGATAACTGGCCAGTGATAACTAACATCAAAATCGATGTTGCCGTTGATTAAACAAAATTAAAAAGAAAAAGTTGAATTAAAGAATAAAAAGTTGGATGGAATTGTGATTTTTAACATAGAGCTAAAAATTTTAATGATAAACTATTCAATATGATTGAGCTATATGTTTTCTGTCCTTTTTATAATTGAATATTTAATTGTTTCGATTTTTAATATTGAGTTATGATTTTAAATTTAATATAATCATTGATATGTTAAAATTAATAGAATTATGACATGAATTCAATTAATCTAATGTGTAAAAAATAATATTATTTTAATGTAACATATTATACTCAAAATGATATTTTGAAAGATTAAACAAATTTTTTCTTTGTTTTTTTTTTCATTTTCCTCTTCTTTCCTTTTACTCTCTCTTATTTAAGCTAGTTTAAAATTCAATCAAACCTCAAATTGCAATAACGATCATTTGTCTGCCTCAACAATCGTCGTCAATGGCCGAAATTTCACAAAATTATACATTATGATTTATTTCTCTCTCCTAAATCTGAATCCAAATTTAATTTTTTAGACATACAAAAAATACTTTAAATATATCTTTTAAGATCGTCGAACTTCCAGCATCTGATATTTTAATTATTAATTTATATTTTATAATGATTTATTCCGGTCATAATCATATAAATGTCTTGATTCTACTTATTAACTATGTTTGCGATCATGTAGATATATTGTTTGTAATTGTAATTATAACTTCAAAAGAAAAAATTAGCCACTTTGTTTGATGTATTTGATTATCATTCCGTCTATTTGTTCTTCATAATTATTGATTTTGATCATAACTATATAGGTGTATTGATTATATTTATAATTTTATTTATCCTTTGTACATTAATCCTTATTGTAACCATATGTTTTTATTCATTGTAATAGTGACTTCAATTTTATCAATTCGACCGTAAGAAGTTATTAACCTAAACAAGTTCAACTTGAACTTTTTTTAACAGATGAACGAACCAACTTACCTCAGTGATTAAAGAAATCATTATTTTTCCTAGAGGACACGGGTTCGAGCACTAGCGTCTGTTGCAAGTGACTGAACGTACATTATCAAATTATTGAAAATATTTAGAACATATACTACTTGTTGTAGACACCCATTTTCTTAAAAGTAGAACTAACAAGAGTTCCTCTCCTATGAGGATTCTTCGACCACCACATCTTTTAAAGCAACAACTACACCAACAAACGTGCAGCAACCGAGCAAGGAGTCTAGTCGTATTAGGATTCTATTGTTAATAGGATTCTAAAAATAATTAGTTTTTTCACTATAAATACATGTAATCCTCCTTATTTGTAACACACGATTTACATACAAAATACAGAGGAAAGCATGGAAAATACAAACGCAAAGCTATTGAAAACGATTCGAAAAAGAAATAAAATGTAGCATATTTTTTACTTTTGATTCGATCTCTTACATTTACGTTTTAATTATTTTTTTCATGTAATATTGTTTTTACATTTTATGTATTTTCTTTTTTACTTTAGTATATATTTTTATTTTTTTAGATTATATATATATATATATTATTTTTTATTATCTATTTTATTAATTTATATATATATATATATATATATTATTTTTACTTTATTATTATTATTTTATTTATTTGTTTTATTTATATTTTTTCTTTTTTTCTTTTTTTATATTTATTTTACTTACTATTTTATCTTTGTTTTCTTTATCTTATCTTTTATTTAATTTGTTTTTTCTTCATTTTAATTTAATTTATTTATTTCTTATCTTTTTATCTAACATGGTTTTTTGACCTTCTTAATGCCACACCTTTAAAACTATCTAAGGTAAGTAATTGCGATCATATTTTTACCTTTTAGTTTTAAATTACAATTTTCTTAATTTAAGACAACCGACAAATTAATTAATACTGAAAGGGCGGTTCAAGGGTGCTAATCCTTCCTTGACCGTAATCGACTCCCGAACCTAACACATTTCTGGTAAAAACGCAGATAAGGTAAGATGGTGTCCGACCCACCTAAATTCGTTTTAAAGTGGTCGGTGGCGACTCCCAACCCAATTATTTCAAGTCGAAGCCCAATTCGAGGCCCAACCGAAAGATGGTTACGACAGCTTGGCGACTCTGCTGGGGACAGGTAAGTGAGTCAGGCCGAAATTAATTTTCGATTGTCTTTTTTTAGCGAAAATTACAAGTTTAAATTTTAATTTATTTATTCGATTACAATTATTTATCTTTAATTATTTTTTTCAAGTAAATAGTTGTACTGACGTTTTTTCAATAATTTCATATTTTTGAAAAAGTTTTCATCTCTGGTTCTATACCCGAGCTCCGAACCCTTTTAAATGGGGGCGAAAGCGACACCTTCGTGCGAATTTATTCACCGTATGGGCCTAGTAAGTAACCTTCGAGATTCATATACCTTATGTCTTCGTGTGAATTTATTCTCCGTATGGGCATAAGGGAATGTTTCCTCTCGAGTTTAACTTAGTCCACACAAGCTTGTAATGGGCTTAGGACTAAGGGTCTGGTAGGCCCAATGGGGCACCGACAAGGAAAACTCGGGTACCGATTTTTAGAACCTAAATCGGGAGACTACAGGAGTTAATGCCCACCCCAAAACTCCATTTCAAAACCTAGGATGCTTGAATTATTTCCTGCTTTATTTTTCTATTCAAAGCATGTGAACTAGAAATTTATGCGGTTAGAACTTGTTCGAAATCAACTTGCGGGGCAAAGATCATGTTCAGGTAGGAATACTAAGTATGTTTGGGTAAATATCATGTGGGTAGGACTTTTATTTTCATGATTTTTTTTACCTCACTAACTCTTTTTCATTTTTGCTATCTTTCATTTCATTTTCATCATTTGCATCATTTAAAAAAGGTGTTGATCCACCAAAAACGTGTTTGTTAAAACATGAATAATCTGAATTAATGGACAAAGGGGTTATAATACAAGAGATGAAAAACGCAGGGGTCCGACTGTGGTAAGAAAACACTCAGAAAGAAAATGAGGATAATCTGTAAGATAACTATGTGTCACATTCGATCAAGAAGACATGGTGCCCACAATCAAATAGATCAAAAGTCAACTTTTCAAAAATGAGTTACTGACCTCGAGAGTCCCTTAAAAAACAACAAGAACAAGATGACAAAACGATAGCTGAATTCGAGAGTCCCTTCAAAGACAACAAGAACAAGATGACAAAACGATAGCTGAATTGGAAGCCATTGTCGACAAATTCAATGAACTTCAGATAATCCCTTTGATGGAGGATTTCAATGGCGTTTCCGTTATAAAACATGTTCAACAAATGATGAAAGCCATAGATGCAGTCATTCGATACTTTTGGGAACCAGTACAAAAAACAGCTCGTCACTTGCACGATTTAGCCAAAAAAGCCGGAGCGGTTCGGCAGGGTATTCGACCGGTGACAGACGAAGGTAGAAGACTAGTCAACTTGTTTCAGGGTCTAGAGGATTTAGTCTGGATGTACCTTTAAATATGTTTATTGTCTCTTAAAAAATAAAACACTTTTGTCCCAATAAAGATTATTTATAATAACAAACAAGTTTTTGGATCAATGCCTCGAACATTTCATGCATTTTTGCATTTTGCATCTACATTTCATTTTTAAGCATTTTCATAAACATGAAATTTCTTCATGGAGAATTCGATGAAGTGGTTTTAACCACATGACACCACATGGAAGCAAGATTGTAACATCAAAAGAAAAAAACTGAAATCACAACGAATGAGCCCGATCAGCTGGTTGTACGACTAAGCCTGCCAGGATGATCTGAGAAAAGAGTCTATATATCTTAAGAGCTACGATGTTGAAGCTGTTTGCAGTTGCCACATAGGATGCTCCATACATTCCTCTGAGAACTATAAGGCGCTGAAGCGCGAGATCCAAAACCTGATGGATTCAGGGACATGGACAGCCGAAGAAGGGGACATTGCATATATCATTTGCACTTAGAAGATTGTTCTGTTTGAACATGTTTTTGATCTTTCATGTTTGCTTAATCTTTTAAACGATTGAATTTATGCTACTTTCTAAGGTGGAGTAATTGAACAAATTTTAATCTTTAGTTCTTCGAATATTAAATGAATTAAGGATTCTTTTAATTCTTCAAGAATTATAGATTTTTGACATATGGCAAGATTAGACCTTTCTTATCATGTCTCAAACCCCAAAATAAAATACCTTGATTCTTTACCCAAAATAACTCATGGTCATTACCAAAAGACCAAATTTTGACATTACCTCCCTTTGAAACTTTTGAACATTGCCTTTATCTTTTTATACACTCGTACCTTTCTTTGAGTCAAATAAAGTCACACCATTGTCTTTTTAGACTCAAAATTGACATTTTTATGCCATTAAAACCCAAGGCATTGAGTTGTTCATTTGAACATGAGCCTTCTTCTAAGAAACAACTTGGGGCATCTCGTAAGGAGCATGAACATTGAGACATGTTGGGGGCAAGAAGAAGAAAGAAGAATTCACTCGAAATAATTCTACCATGCATTAATTACACTGTTTTCATGTGAATAAAAATAATCCTGAAAATCTATCCCCCTGGGGATACCTCTTCTGTGAGGACTTCCATGTATGAAATGATGAACGACTTTCTTTCATCATCCCTTCACAACAGGAGAAAATATATACCCCTTGTGTCCCCTTTTGAAACTATAGTATTTTTTTCTTCTGATTCAACCCTAACCAAGGATCACCCTCCACACTAGGGGACAAGGTGGAGAAAATTTGCTCGGATGAGTGAAGAAATTGATTCAGATGAGATACCGAAAGGTGAACCAAATGTCAAGTGCGAAGATTCAATCAGAAAAAAAAGAGAAAATAAAGAGAAAATAAAAAGAGAAAAAAAGGAAAATTGAAGAAAAAAGAAGACAAGATGCATATGCAAAGATTCTCTTGATTCAAAAGACACATCGAGATTCAAACTATGAGATTGATCAAGCACAATCATTTCTGAACCACTTTACCCGAAGATCATAGAGCATCAAATGAGATTGATCAAGAACAATCATTTCTGAATTACTGAATCACTCCACTCGAAGATCATGGAGCATCAAGAGAGAGACACATACAGCAGATTCAAATTGAGCAAGATATGATCGAAGACATCAAAATGAATTGATCCTTGGTTCAATCACCCTTAAACACTTGTTTGGGCCTTTTATCCCTTTCTTTCATAACCATGAACCATGACCTATGTTACGTGCCTTAAAAGTCCATTCTAATCATACATGAATTTCTAAACAGAAGATACTATCTTCAGATTTTATCTCGCCCATCAGGATTAATCTTTATTTGCAAAAAATAGTGTAATTAATGCATGATAGAGAAAAATAACAATTCAAGACGTAAATTTCGAATGACGTCTTGAAACCAAGAGAGGATTCGAGTTGAAAACCTGAAAAGATGGCTCGAATACAAAAATTGGGCAGCTGAGGCGATCGCACGAATTCCTTGATAAGGCATCGCACAATCCGAGCTTGACCATGAAAGTTGGGAATCAGAGAACACTTCCAATAGAAGAGCATGCAAGATACCCCATCAAACCTTTGAGCATCAAATAAACAAAAATGTCAAATCTTTGACCAAACACAATAACCTGAGACATTTTTATCCTTTCCTTACTTAACCATTTCCCAAAAATAGATTTGATCTTGGTACGTGTCAAACGACTATAATTTATTGAAGGATTAAAAATCTAATTAATTCTTTGATATCCAATGAACTCTAGTTTTATGATTTGTCTCAATTGTAAAACCGTGAAAGAGACAATATTTTCAAAACTTTTGGTTAAACATTTTTCGAAACTCTTTTTTGATATTTTTCATAACTTTGAAAATAAAAAAGAAAGAAAAACATTTTTTTTCAAAACAATACAATCTCTCTATAGTGGATCTTGGTAAATGACATGTGGCTCTCAAACACAAAACTCATGCTTAGAATCAATGCTGAAGCAAGAAATCAGGAACAATGAGGGAATCTTTGAAGATTCAACATCAAATTTTGGGACATTTTTTTAGATTTAACATCAAATGTTGGGGCATTTTTTGAGATTCAACATCGAATATTGGTGCATCTTTGGGAATTCAACATCCTGATGCAAATTATCAGACCTTTTGAAGGCATTTCCTCCATATGTAGGAACAAGCACACAAATCACGAGAATCCATCCAGGGGATAAAACAGAACAATTCATGTTACATGCATCTTAGACATACTTAAGAGCATCGCATTTATCATTTTTTGTATACATAAGTTTTTGCAGCTTTTAGAGTCAAGTTTTAACTTCAAGATGAAGGATGCTCGATTCAAAAGCACATGATGGTTGCTCTACCTCACAGTGAAGGGGCAACTGTCTGTCGAAAAATAACTTTCCAATTTCATTCAGAGTCAATTTTAACTTCACAGCGAAGGATATTGAACTCGAAGTGACACAATTTGCTCGAGAGTATATTTCAACTTCACGACGAATGATATCTAGCTCAAAGCCAAACTTCACAATAAAGGGGTCATCCACGGTTTCAACTTCACGATGAAGGGAATCGTGTCCACCCGCAACATACAATACTCCACGGTCTCAACTTCACGATGAAGGGACTTCCCAATTTCAGAGCCAATTTCAACTTCACAGCGAAGAATATTGGAATCGAGACAACACAAGTTCAACTTCACTGCGAAGGGACGACTAGTTGCCAACAAACAATTTATCAGTTTCAAAACCAATTTCAACTTCACAGTGAAGGATATTGGACTCGAGACAACACAAGTTCAACTTCACATCGAAGGGATGGCTGGTTATCAACAGACAATTTCCCAGTTCCAGAGCCAATTTCAACTTCAAGGCGGAGGATATTGGACTCAGAACAATACAACTTACTTGGATTTCAACTTCACGATGAAGGATATCCAATTCCAAGGCTCTACTTCACAACGAAGGGGCCATCCACGGTTTCAACTTTACGACGAAGGGAATTGTGCTCATTGTCTCTCTTGAGACAGTTTCCAAGTTTTGTCTCTCTTGATACAGTTTCCCTTGAAACAAAATCTTTGAATATCTTTTCCTTGAAACAAATTCCGTCTCCCTTAAGACATTTTCTTTTGGAACTAAGTTTTGTTTCTCTTGAGATAGTTTCTCTTGAAACATAAACATTGAAAACATTTCCCTTGAAATGAATTTTGTCTCTCTTGAGATAGTTTCCCTTGAGACAGTTTCTCTTGAAGCATATTTTGTCTCCCTTGAGACAATTTCTCTTGAAGCATAAACTCTGAAAACGTTTCCCTTAAAACACAAAATATTTGAATCAGTTCCCCTTGAAACAAGTTTTGAGACAATTTCCCTTGAAACTTCAATCTTTGAATACAATTTCTCTTGAAACACAAAAAAAAACCTTTGAAATTGTTTCTTTTGAAACACAAAAAAAACCTTTGAAGATGTTTCTCTTGAAACACAAAACCCTCAAGTTTGATTACATTCAGCTTTGAGGGCACATCATTTACATCATAACTCAAGGCTAGAAGGATTATCTGCCAACCAAAGACCTTCGAGTTCGCCTACACTCAGCTCTAAGGCACATCATTTACAGCATAGCTCAAGGAAAGAATAGATATATGTCAACGAAGACTTTTCGAGTTTGGTTTCATTCAGCTCGAGGGCATATCAACCACATTGTGGAGTTAAGAGATTACTTTCCAGTCGAATTTTTAGCCAAGGTCTTTAAACTGAGAAGAAGACCAAAGTGAACTACAATGAGAAACCACATTCTGATTCAAATCATTTCAAGATGGACTCGACTTCGCGACGGAGGAGCCATTCGCAATTCAATTCGACAGGGAGTTATTCTTCAACTCTATTGAACGAAAATTTATGTCTTTTTATCTTTGTCCTATTTTTCGTTCCACGAAAAAAGACAAAGAGGGGCAGCTGTAGACACCCATTTTATGAAAAGATAGAACTAACAAGAGTTCCTATCCTATAAGGACTCTTCCACCACCATATCTTTTAAAGCAACAACCACACCAAAAAACGTGCAACAACCGAGCAAGGAGTCTAGTCGCATTAGAATTCTATTGTTAATAGGATTCTAAAAATAGTTAGTTTTTTTCACTATAAATATATGTAATCCTCCCCATTTGTAACACACGATTTACATACAAAATACAGAGGAAAGCACGGAAAATACAAAGGCAAAACTATTGTACACGATTCGAAAAGGAAATAAAATGTAACATCTTTTTTACTTTTGATTCTGTCTCTTACATTTACGTTTTAATTATTATTATTTTATTTATTTAACTTTATTTATACGCACATTTCCACTGTTACTCATTTTATTTAATTGTTTTGTTATTTTTCTTTTCTTTTTTTCATGTAATATTTTTTTACATTTTATGCATTTCTTTTTTACTTTAGTATATATTTTTATTATTTTAGATTATATATATATATATATTATTTTTTTTATTATCATTTTTATTAATTTATATATTTATATATATATATATATATATATATATTATTATTTTTATATTTATTATATATATATATATATTATTTTTGCTTTTTTTTATTATTTTATTTATTTGTTTTATTTATATATATATATTTTTCTTCTTTTTCTTTATTTTTTATATTTATTTACTTACTATTTTATCTTTTCTTTCTTTATTTTATTTTATCTTTTATTTAATTTATTTTTTTTCATTTTAATTTAATTAATTAATTTATTTCTTACCTTTTTATCTAACATGATTTTTTGACCTTCTTAAGGCCACACCTTTAAAACTATCTAAGGTAAGTAATTGCGATCTTATTTTTACCTTTTAATTTTAAATTATAATTTTCTTAATTTAAGACAATCGACAAATTAATTGGTACCGAAAGGACAGTTCAAGGGTGCTAACCATTCCTTGACCATAAGCGACTCCCGAACCCGACACATTTCTGGTAAAAAAATAGATCAAGTAAGATGGTGTCTGACCCATCTAAATTCGTTTTAAAGTGATCGGTGGTGACTCCCAACCCAATTATTTCAAGTCGAAGCCCAATTCAGGGCCCAACCGAAAGACGATTACGACACTTGTGATCACCAATTTTCGTCCGCCCAAATAACCACAATAGTAAAAGAAAAAATTCAACAAAATCCCTAAAGCTTCGGCCAATAACCCCAAATTTTCAGGATTCATCCATCCACTATCCCAACCCACTAACATCTACCATTCAATTCAAGCATACACACAACTATAAAGGGGATGAAGGAATTACAGTAGAGGGGGACCTGCACAAATGAATCATTGGAAAAGGAACAACGAGCTCGATTCTTTCTCACTTTGCCTTCTTTCTCTTCCTTCCATTGTTTCAACGTTGGCGACGTTCCACTTCTTCTTTCGACGGTCCTTCCAATTTCCTGGTGCTAAGCTGCCGCACGAGATACGAAGAAGAAGATGCCATCTTTACAAACAGCGTTGCCCCCTAAGCTTGCTATCAATGTCATCAGATTTTATCGTGAGTGTCTCCGGAGAGCTAAATATATAGGACAAGCAACATAATACTGCACTGGTTGTTGATATGGTGAGACAACAATTCAAAAAACATATGCACGAGATAGATCCAGAGAAGATTCAGAAGTAGAAAGATGAGAAAGGTGTTATAAACAGCGGTCCGATGCTTTTAGATTATCGAATCCACGGCGTGAGTCGATGATCAAGACTCACAACGAATTCCTCGATGAAGATCATAGTCTGGTGGTCGTTGATCATCACGACTGGTACCATGCGGAGCGGTGGTCGAGAACACATTTTCCTCTTAAACGGTTACTCCGTTTTACCAGAGATCGTCGTGCGGTAGTTCCCGAGAATCAGGAGCGTGACGTTAAAAGGGAAGCCTCTCTCTTTTACAAAAGAGAAAATAACCTCAGTGACCAAAAATGCCTTATAATATACGATTTTAACCAACTTTTTTTGGATTTGCCAAAATGACCAACAAAATCGCAATGTGAAATAAAAATCGCAACGCGATCTCCAGAATCGCAAATCAGTTCCCAGAATCGCAACGCGATTATAAAGAATCGCAATGCGATAGTACAAATTCGCATTGCGATTTTTCAGAATTGCAACGCGAATATGAAAATTGCAACGCGAACATATAAATCGCAACGCGATTCTGACTATTGCAACGAGTATCCGTAAAATCGCAACGCGTATCCGTAAATCGCAACAAGAATACGTAAAATCGCAACGCGTATCCGTAAATCGCAACGAGAATACGTAAATCGCAACGCGTATCTGTAAATCGCAATGAGAATACGTAAATCGCAACGCGAACACGTAAATCGCAATGCGAATCTATAAATCGCAACGAGATTCTGACTATCGCAATACTGAATTTCAAATTTGCAACTCGATTTCTGAATTCGCAACAGGTTTTAATTTCGCAACACAAATATTTTGGGTATATAACTACGCAGCAGCAGTAACTCATAACCTAAATCCCTAAATCATAACTCATTCCATCTCCATCTATCACTCTCTCCGGCGACATCCATTCCTATATCCAACGACATCCTTCCCCATCCGACAACAGATTTTAGTTTCGCAGCTCGTTTGTTTAGTAAATTAATTTACAATAATGAAATCATCTAATGTTGATCATGTTTGGATAGATTTGTGTTTTGGAGGGTCATGGGAGAATGTTCATGGTGTTTTACAATATATGCCTTTACCCATGAATCTTCAACTAAAACTGTCATTAAAAAAAGTTAACTTATGAAACTCTAATGTTACGTGTTGCAAATAAATTGAATTTAGAGCCCCTAAGTGGATTTAGGCTATCTTATCAGAGAAATGGTAAAGTTTATTTGTTAACCGATAATGAAGATGTTGAACGATTCATTGCTTACATTAGTGTTTCAAGTGATGATGTTACATTGTATGTTGTTGAACCTAGAAGTAGTGAAGTTGGGTCAGTAGCGGGTAGTAATCAACTAAGTTTTTCAACCCCAGTTTATGGTGCTCAAAATTTAATGGTTCCACCACAATTTCATCACCAAGCAAATATTGTTTCACCACATTTCCAATACCAAACACAATCTCAAAACCCACAACCTTTCCCTAATCCAAATCCCAATCACCTTTCAGCACCAAATTCCGGTTTTCGTATTGACCAGTTAGACGATGATGAACCAACAGAAAAAAATTATGAGTACTAGTCAGTATTCGAAATTTGATCTTGGTCAATACCCGGACTTTTATCTTGGTCAATACTCGGATTTTGATGATTTTTCAGAAGAAGAAACAGACCTTGCGTGTAATAATTTTGATATTGATCAATACCCGAATTTTGATGATGAAACAGCCGTTGCCGAGGAAGATGTTGTTGATGATAATGAGGAGGAAGTTACGACTGTAAATGAACATGTTGAACATCCATTCTGTAATTCATATAACACTGAAGAAGAAAAAGAAGAAGAAGAAATCCCCAAAGAAAAGTCCCCGAAGAAAATGCCACGGGAGTATAACTGGAATATGCCAGAATTACTTCAGATACCGGAAGAAGAGTTGGTAAAGATAGCAGTTGATTGTTACACAAAAATTATTCGTATCAAGAAAGATGATTGTTTTGATACAAAGGAAGACTTGAAGATAGCTTTGATTACGAAATGTGTGGAAGATGGCTATCAACTAAAAGTTAACAAATCAAGCAAAGATCGTTTCGAAACAAGGTGTATGATTGACAAAAACTGTATGTGGCGTATTATTGCAAAGAGGATAAAAGATTGTGAAATGTTTCAAGTTAGGACTTTTATTGATAAACATACATGTTCAAGAACCCAAGTTTTTCCTCACCATAGACAGGCAAACAAAAAGGTGTTGGGTGGTTTTCTGGCTGAGTTAATGTTTTTGAATGGTAGGGTATATCGTGGACATGAAATTATGACTGACATGAATGCTCGGTTCAAGATTAGTATCTCATATTCTCAAGCTTGGAGAGCCAAATGTTATGCCTTGGAATTGTTGAGGGGGTCGCCAGAAGCATCGTTTGCCCAACTGCCGGCTTATTGTCACAATTTAAAGATGAAAAATCCTGGGTCGGTAACTCATATCAAAACAAATAGAGATGGACGCTTTGAGTTGCTGTTTATCGCCATTGGTGCTGTGGTTAGTAAATTAATATAATTTTGTTGACTCATTTTTGTTAGTTACATGCATTTCACATTTAAATGATTATATTTCTTGTGTATATGATTTTGTAGATTCATTCGTTTATTAATTGCATGCGCCCAGTTATTATAGTTGACGGAGCACATTTAAAAGGTCGATACCTTGGAATAAACTTATTAGCAGTAGCCATGGATGCTAACAATTGGATACTGCCAATAGCTTACGGGGTTGGCAAATCTGAAACCTCTGATTCATGGATATGGTTTATAGGGCATCTTAGGGATTGCATAGGTCCTATTAGCAATCTGACAATCATATCCGATAGGGAAAACTCAATTGACAACGCTGTTAGAAGGTGTTTCTAAGATGCTTTTCATGGACTTTGTGGTGTTCATTTGTATAGAAATCTAAAATCAAGGTCTGCTGGTATAAAAAATCACAAATGAACATACTGGAAGACTGTAAAAGCTTATCAAGAAGTGGATTTTAATAAGCATATAAACTATTTAAGACGTGTTTTGCCTCAGTGTGCTCAAACACTAGAAGATGTCGGGTTTGAAAGATGGTCAAGAGTACATCAACTTGGAGCAAGATATGGTTTCATGACGTCCAATAGTGCATAATCAATCAACGCTCTAAGTCGTCATTCCCGGAAATTACCCATTACTATGTTAATGGAGTTTTTTCGAGCCTCTATTCAACAGTGGTACTA